AGAAGATTACTTAACAATTAAACTATTTAAATCAAAAGAAGATTTCTGAACTCATTCTAGCAGTTCAACAAAATGAATACGTCATTACCTACCTTTATTAAATTAGTTTCTCTCAACTTTAATTACTTTAAATACATAAAAGTCTTTAATAACTCTCCCACTTAATTGAGACACGTGAAGAACACATGATTTATACTTGAAAGTTAATAAACCAACGGAAACAGTAATAATATAATAATGTAAATAATATAATTAATAATAATGAATTTTATAAATTCAAAATTTATAACTCATATACAAGTAAAAATTTAAATCTGATTTCTAATTAATTATTTGTCACAAAGTTTTTTTATTATTATTTTAGCTAGAGTTATAATAATTTTTAATTATATATAAAAAAATTAATGACTGGTAATGTTTTTTATTATATAAAAATTTTGAAGTAAATTAAGCTTTTATTATTATTATTATTATTATATAATTTTAGTTTTGTCATAAAAAAACATATTAAATATAAAAGATATATTATATATAAAATAACTTTAAGTAGAAAAAAGAGTATTATTTTTAAAGATTAATAATATAAATTTGTTTTATGATTAGCTAAAATAAAATCAGAAATCTTTTAATATTAATATATTTGTACTTTTAAATATAATTTATGGAATTATATAAAAAAGAATTTAATAATATTATAATAAATTATTTAATTAAAGTAATTACAGTCAAACTTCTTTATAATCACACCCATTTATAGTCACACCTCTCTATAGTCACCCTATTTTACTTTCCCATTTACATATAAATATAATAAAAAAAATTCCTTTATAGTCACATTCTCTCTATAGTCACCAAATTTTGCTTTCCTGAGGGTGATGACTATAGAGGGATTTGACTATATATTAAGAATGACAAATAAGCAAATATATATAATATATATAATATAATTAAATATATAATATTTTAAGTACAGTCAAATTTTTTATAATAATCATTTTCAAAAAATCAAAATTGAATAACTATAAAGAGAATATAACTATAGAAATATTTTTTAATTATATTCATATATAAATATAAAAGCAAAATAGATAAATATAAAAAGATTTGATTGTATTAAATTATAATTATAATAAATTTATAATAGTAATAATAATATATTTATAATATAATTAGCTAGAATAATATTTGAAATTTATATTAAAAATATTTAATTAAGAAATATTATATAATAAATATATAATTTTATTATAAAATCATAATTTAATAATAAATATATATAATTTTATTAATAAATAAATTTATTATTAATTTATTATATATTTTAATTATTATTTATTTGAGATTTTAGTAAAGATAAATATTTAATATTTCTTTTTATTAATAAATATCTAGTTTTTTTATTTTATTGAACTATTACAAATTTTAATTAATTTTCAGTTTGGTTTATATTAGATTTATATGATATTATTAAATACATATATTTTTGAAATATATAATTAAATCTTTATAATTTATAATTTTATAATTAATATGAATATTTTTATATTTAGAACAATCAAATTAAAATAATATTAATAAAGATATTTGAATTATATACTAATAAATATTATATAATTGAGCAACAAATATAATATAATTAAAAAATTACAGATTTTATACTATACTTTATATTTTAAATCAATAATATAATTTTTATTTATATTAGTAATTATATAATATTAACTAGCTTAACTATATTATATATTTGTAATTATATAATATTAACTAGCTTAATTATATTATATTCAATAGTATAATACTAGAAATATTAATATTGTTATCATTTTCAGAGTTATTATCTATAATAATATTTTTGAAAAATAGCAAATAATTGTGTTCATGTGAAAAATCAAATTATTGAACTATTAAAACTTATAATTCAAATATAAAATAATAAAATTGAACATAAATATTAAATATAAAATTATGAAATTGAATATAATTTCAACAAAAAATTAATAAAATAAAAATAAATAATTATCAAGATTTTTCGAAAATACCAATAATAATAACTATATATATTTTTGTATTTTTATATTTAATAATTCTAATATTAATATAGTTATTCAATTAATTACTAATTAATAATTAGTAATTTTTTTAATTTTTATTATATTTTATTAATAAAATTGCATATATAATTTTATAATTTTGTTAATCATTATATAAATTCAAAAAATATTATATATTTTAATTAGTTTTTAAATAATTTTAAGTTAGAATTTTAGTTTTAGTTTTAAATATAATTTTTTAGTTTTAATATAATTTTTTATATTTATATTTTTTAATAATTTATTTTTTAATTAGAATTTATATATATAATAAAATATATTATTACTAGATATAAATTCTAATTAATATTTATGTTATGTATATTATTAAAAATTGTAAATTAATTTAATAAAATTATTGATATTTTATTTGTTTATAAATAATTAATTAAATTATAAATATATAAATATATTTAACTTTTAGAATTAAAGTATTAAGAAAATTTCTGATTTCATTTAATTAGTTATAAAAATAAACATATATTATCTATCTTTAATATTTTAGTTATAAAATCTTTAGTTGTTATATTATTTGGCTTAAATCATGTAAATATGTTATATATTTAAAATATCTAAAATATAAGAAATTATAAAATTTCTGGTAATAAAAAAATATTTTCTAAATAAAATAAATACATATATAAATTTGAAAAAATTTATTCAATTGTTGCATTACTTTTAATTGTCGTTATATTCAATACTTAAATACTTAAAATAAAACATTCACAAAGCTCAAAGAAAGGAACTTTATAAAAATCAATAGAGATACAGACACTTTTTCAAAGATAATAATCTTGATAATCAATAATACACATAAGAAATGTTTAAACGAAAAGAAAAATCCAAGAATTTCCTAAATTTCATTTGAATTTTTTTCAAGCATTCAATAAACAATTTATTGGAAGTAGGATTAAAGCTATTTTATTTTAACCATACAATAATCAGCAGTGCCCAATTTTGAAACATAATTCTATAATGATAAATTAACTTTTTTTCAATATTAAATATATTATCTACCGGTTAGATTTAGCAACTCGTTCTAATAAGAAAACATGATTTGGATAAATATAAATGTCTTGTCAGTTGACTGCGGCAATATAAAAAAATTATTCTTACCAAGTTCATCCTTCTTTTTGATAGCATATGAATTTGAACTTCCCTCTATTAAATTATTTAAAAATAAATTATTAATTAATCTGAATCAATAAAATAAATAAGATATAATAATAATAACTCACTAGCAGCGTTGATGAGTTCGTCAGCTAAACATTCAGCAATACTTTTGACATTTCGGAAAGCGGATTCACGGGTCTTATAAAATTATAGAAAAGCCATTATAAATACAAATGCTTAGACACAAATTCTCAAAAAATGAAATCTCACCCCAATGGTCAAAAGTGCTATCGCTTGATTGACGCGACGCAAAGGCGACACATCAACTGCTTGCCGTCTTACAGTGCCAGCACTACCGATACGGGTCGAATCTTCTCGCGGGCCAGTATTAATGATAGCATCCACCAACACCTGGATGGGATTTTGATCGGTAAGCAAATGTATAATTTCGAACGCATGTTTTACTATTCGAACGGCCATGAGTTTTTTGCCGTTATTACGTCCGTGCATCATAAGTGAATTGGTAAGACGTTCGACTACGGGGCACTATAGGGTGTATTCCAAGCAGATAAATTAAATGAGAGAGCATAAAAATTCATTCACGTAAATAAAAAAGCTCAACTACATACTTGGGCTTTTCTGAAACGCTTGACAGAGAATCTTCCAGCAGTGTGAGACAAATAAACAGGACTTTTTATTTGAACATAGTCAATTAAGGAAATATCTTTGACTTCGACATCGTCATAACTCCACTTGTTGAACAGGCGAATGCCTTGACCTTCTGCTAAAATATCTGCAACGGTGGCCATAATGTGCCTATTATTTATATCAGTTTTTTTTCTTCAAAGAATTCTAGTTTTTTATGAAAAAAAACTTTTCGGAATTTCTACGTCATCATCTAGAATAGAGTACCCTAGCCATGGCAAAAAAAAGTGTGATATTCGGGTATAGGTATATCCGGAAAAATTCTATGGTTATTACGTGATCTGAAAGCAAAATAGTGCCCAGCCACAAGTGGCGCTATCACAATCATTGATCAATTAAATTTTAGATCACCAACCAATCGGATTTATTGTAACGCACAAGAAATCACAAGAATTAGTCACATGGCATCGAGCCTTATATATGAAAAAATCTGTGAATAATAAAATTTTCTGGAATAGGATTTCATCATTTTTCAACAATATATAATGGCTCACACATGTAACAAAACATGAAAATTAACTTCTTAGTATTTTTATTTTCATGACTATTAATTTGAACAAAATAAAAAAGTGTTTATTTGATTTAAATCAAAATTTATAATTAGTAAATTTCTCATATTAAAGAACTTTTTTTTTATTCCAAATTTGAATCTTTAATTAAAAATGTTCTACTTTATAAAATCTACTTGTTTATCAGTTTTCATAAAAATTGGTTTCAAATTCATTAAGATTTGAAATCCTGAAGAACCAAATCTATACTAGAAGTATTGATTTATATATTAATGCTTCTAGTATAAATTCAGACTTTAGAATCTTAAATATCTATATAAATTAAATTGACTTTTATAAAAATTGATAAATAAATAGATTTTATAGAGTAATATATTTTTAATTAGTGGTTCAAATTTGAATTCATTATAAAAAAAAGTTCTTTAATATGAAAAATTTACTAATTGTAAATTTTGATTTAAATTACTTTATTTTACAAAATAATCTGTTTTCAAATTATTTTAAAAAATATTAGAAATTTCAGGATTTCAAATAAATACTTTTTTATTTTGTTCAAACTAATAGTCATGAAAATAAAAATACTAGAAAGTTAATTTTCATATTTTATTATATATATGAGTCATTATATTTATAATATTTAAAAATATTATAAATTATATTTTATAAATATCAAATATAAATTAATATAATTAAATTTTTTTATAATTATATTTATTTATAATTATATTTCTTTATAATCATTTTATTTTGCTTTTTTATTTATATATAAATATAGTAAAAATCTTTTTATAATTATATTTTTTTATAATTATTCAATTTTGCTTTTTTAAGAGTAATATTATAGTAATAACAATAATTTTGCAAATTCAAAAAAAAACTATAACTTTCAAAAAATAGCAGAAAAACAGAAAAATTCTAAAATATTAAAAATATTAAAGGTAACAAAAATAATTTATTAAATATTATTATTTTATCCTTATCTTTTTATCTTTTATTTTATCTTTTCATTATTTTATCTTTTTATTATTTTATCTCTTATTTTATCTTTTTATTAGTTTATTTTTTATTTTTATTTTATATTATTAGATTACCTATTATTTTAACTTTTATTTTAACTTTTTTCATAATTATTTTATCTTGATTTTATCTTATTTCATTCTTATTTTATTTTATTTTACTTTTTAGTAATTTACCTTTTTATCTTTTATTTTTATTTTTATTTTATCTTTCAATTAGTTATTTTATTTTTTAGATAATTATTATTATTAAAATTATATTTTTGAAAAATATATAAATAGATATGTTATCTAAGTCTTAACTTGACATGTTGCAAATGAAAAATAAAATTTTCTCTTAACAAAAATCTTCTTTTAAATAATATTTGTCTTTTTTACTTTTTATTATACATTAAAACTTGCATACAAGTAACTTTAAATCATATTGTGTTAAATAAAATGCTAATAATATTATAATTCAAATATTTTATAACATAATTATTTTATTAATAATTAATTATTTTTATTATATTTAACATTTTTAATAATTTAAATTTATTAAATTAATTAATTATTATTTATTTATTTAATTATTTATTTTTATTGAATGAAATTGAAATTATGTGACTTTTTTTATATAATTTAAACATATAATAATATTTAATAATATATTGTAATATTTAGTAACATGTTATAATATTCAGTAATATTTTATAATATATTGTAATATTTATTAATATAATCACTATTTGATATTTTGGATCATATATAAAATATTATGTAACATAATTTTGATAATTATTTATATTTTCTTTTATATTTTT